AAGGGGGAAAAAAAAAAAAAAAAAAAAAAAAAAAAGCCTTGTCCTCAAGCAGCTTAGACTCCAGTTAAGGAAGCAGAATTTAGTCAGATAAATACACTGATGAATTTATAACTATAAAAGAACTCTAAAGAAGGGGGTTGGGGGGCTGGTCAGGGAAGGCTTTCCTAAAAAAGTGAGCTTGAGCTGAGATGGGAAGGAAGGATGAATAGAGCTTACCTAAGCAAAGGGGGGTGGGGTGGGGATGGGGTGGTGGAGAGAGCCTTCCAGATAGGGAAGAGTATATGCCAAGGCCCTGTGGTACAAGAGAAATTGCAATCAGTGTAGCTGAAGAGCACAAAGGAGAAAGGAAGGCTGGATGGAGGAGGAGGCTGGGGAGGTAGGCAGGGCCAGACTATATTTAGCACTTATAGACCATGTGAAGGAGCTTCGTTTTTGTCCTAGGAGCAGAAAGAAGGCATTAGAGGGTGGAGGGTGACCAGATTTGTGTTTTGAAAAGTTTACTGTGGCTGCCTAGAGGAGAACTGATGAGGGGACAAGAGACCAATGGATTTGGGGAAGAGGAGAGGGAGGTGGAGAGAGGAGGGGAAGGGTGAGAGAGGGAGACACAGAGGGGTTTGGGGGTAAGGGGAGAGGGATGGGGGGCGGGGGGGAGGGAAGGGAACAGTGGAATATGGGTGGGGGCATAGAGACCAACAGTAGGAACAAAAGCAGGAGAAAGATCAGAGAAAGTGGGGAGGAGGCAGCAGCAGGAAACAGCCAGGGGCCAGGAGGCGGGACAGGAGGTGCGGAGAGAGCCACGGGGCCCCAACCAGGGGGAAAGAGAAAGATTGCTCAAGAAAGATGCGGCAAACAACAGGGAGAGGCAAAAAAAAAACATAAAACAGAACAAGGAAACGGAACGTGTGAGAAAAACACCCAATGGCGACAGCAGGAGAGAAATGGCAGGGAAGTGGAAAAGCAGCAGCAGGCAGAACACAGAGGAAACCCGAGTGAGACAGAGAGAGAGAGAGAGAGAGAGAGAGAGAGAGAGAGGAGCAAAGGGATGGAGGAAAGAGGGCAGGAGGCGGGGAGCGCAGGGCAGAGGGTTGGGGAGGAAGGGTGGGCGGGAGGGGAGGAGAAAAGAGTGATGTGGAGGAATCTGGCCCTGGAGTCCGGGGGCTGGTTTATCAAATGTAGCAAAGTGCAGGTTGAGAAAGTCAGAATGGACCTTACTTGCCTTCGACGACGGTAGCAAACTTTTTGTTGCTACGAGGGATCTCAGCCCCACAATATTTCACTTTAAAGAGAAATGGAAACAACTCTTTGATCTCGGGATTCTCAGGGGGTGTCACGGGAAGGGGTGGGGGAGAGGGGGAGGGGAGAGGAGCGTTAGGGAAGGTGGGGGGAGGTCGGGGCGATCAAAAATAAAAGAACAGCGACCATGGGAGGGATGTGGGGAGAGGATGGGGGACACAGGCGGCAGAGAACAAGAGGCGTGTCAGAAACACTGAGGGGGAGCGTGCGTGTGCGTGTGCATGTGCATGTGTGCGTGTCCGAGTCTCCCTCTCTGTCTCTCTCCACACGGATTCGGATTCGTGGATTCGTAGGTACATTACGTGTGTGCCTGCTCTCTGGGTTGCTGGAGGAGGTTGGGAAAGGGAGACGGGAGAGGGAAAGGAGGGAGGGAGAGGGCCACCCCCAGCCCGGCCCCTGGCTGGCTCAACTCCATCGGTCCGTCTGGGAGGGGGCCGGGGGGTCTTGCAGGAGCAGAGTCTCACCCGTGCAGGTTGGGGGACGGAATGGAGGGAAGGGGAGGAACAGGTCGGGGGGGACAGGGAGAGGTAGGGGCAGGGGGAGGGCAGGGGGAAGGCAGTACCTCAGTGATGCCGAAGGGGATGTTGCCCACATAGAGGCGCCGGGCCTGTCTGGTCATCTGGCTACCGACCACGGGCACCGGTGTCGGGGTCACAGCCAGACCGTCGGGGGTCATGGTGGGGAGAAGGGCGGTGGCTGGAATCTGACCGGCAGCTTCAAAAGGAAGAGACGGGGATTAGAGGACATCAGGGCGCCCGTGGAGCGGCTCAGCAGCAGCGCCCTCCCGGACATGGGCAACCACCGCCTCTGCAAAACCAGGTCTGTTGACAGCTTCATCCCTGCTGTCAACTACAACAGTAAGGGCTGTTATCAAGGGGCTTCAACAGGCAGAAGCCAGAAAACCCAGGGTGAAAACCCCATCTGGCACCCCCCTAAAACCGAGGCTCTGCTTCCACCCCAGTATACAACCACTCCAGCTCACGAGAGGGTGAGGGGCCAGAGGACCAGTAGGTGCGGGGCGGCGGCTGAAGCCTACCTTGCATGGCCTTGTACTGCATGGGGGTGATGTGCTCGAAGCCGGGCGGCGGCACGTCCCAATATTTACGGACCTTCTTTTTCTTCTCGTGGCGGGGGGAACGACTGGGGAGGGGGAGGGGAGAGCGGGGCAGGGCGACCTCAGTCTGACCAAAGGTGGGCCTGCAAGTCCCCCCAGGTTCCCCTCGGCTCCCCCGCCCAGCTCGGCTCTCTCCAGGAGGGAGAGGGTCCGGGTCAGGGCCGTGCCCAGGCCCGGGGAGGGTGCTATTGCAAGGCAGGTGGGCTCTCCCCAGTGCTCGGGCCGGGGCTGGGCGAGGACAGGGCAGGGTGCACGGCGGGGAAGGAGGCAAAGGGAACGGACGTCAGGGCGGAAGGGGCAGGAGGAGAAGCTCACATCAGTCCACCGTGCTCCTCTTTAGCGCCTCTGGTCAAAGGTTTGCTGGGGGGTGGGAGGGAAAGGTGTGGGGAGGGGTGACTGGGGACCCTCGTCTTCCCCACACACCACAACCCCCCAGGCCGCTGAGTCCAGGGCTGGGGCAGGGCCGAGGTGAACAAGCAGCGGGCAAACCCCCTCGGCCCTGCCATTTCCCCCACGCCCCCCACCCCCAAGCAAGAGGAAGGGAGGAAGGGCCAGACAGACCACTTTCTAGCTGAAGAGACTGAGGTGGGAGGAGGCAGGACTTCCACCTATCCCGCCCTTCCTCACCCAAGGGGCAGAGAGGACAGAGGGGAGCCTGGGGAGGGAAGAGGCATTAGAGCGGAAACCGCCGTCCCCCTCCCAGGGCGGCACCCCGGAGACCCGCACAGTGGGCACAAGAGGGCCGGGAAGGGAAGGGAGCCCCTCACCAAGGGACAGACAGAGCGGCTCCCTGTCACCAGCGACCCACCAGAAACTGAAGGAAACCCCAGGAACGGGGAAGAAACTGATTCAGACAGATGAGCAGCAGCGCCTCCCCCAGGTCCACGCGGAGAGGAGCCCCGGAGCCCCAGGACGCAGCTGCCCGCTCCCCGCCCTGGTACCTTCGGCGCCGCCTGTCCCGGGAGGCGCTGCGCTGGTCCCGGTTGCGCCGGTCCCGGCTGCGGCTGCGGCGCTTGCGGTCCCGGCTTCGAGAGCGGCTGTGGCTGCGCTTCCGGTGCCGGTTCTCCTTGTCACGCTCTGGGCAAGGCGGGGGAGAGGATGAGCTGAGGGAAGCTGCGGCCCAGCCCACCCGCGCACTGCTGGCTTTGCCCCAGCCCCAGGGAGGCCACCCCCAAGGGGAAGGGGCTTGATGGAGGAAGGGAGAGCAGGCTTCCTGGGTCCACACACGAGTCCAAAGACCCTTGGGACCGGGGCGGGAGCTGGTTACCTGAGGGGACAGGGCCTGGAAGTGCCCCCGGGGTGTAAGGTACCTGAGGATGCTCAGGAGGAGCTGGGGAGCCAGAGAAGACAGAGGAGGCTGGCTCCTGGTCCCCCTCGAGGGCTGAGGGGCCTGACCCCAGGGTCGTCCCTGAGAGGGGCAGGGCTAGAGGCTGGGGAATCAAGAGACCCAATGATGTTTTCCTGAAGGGACCCAGCAACCCCTCAGGAGACCTCCTCAACCAGCTGGCCCCCACTGCCCCACCATCAGGCCCCGGGGTCAGGTGCCAGGCAGGACCCGCTTCGCTGAGAAGCAGGGAAACCCAGCCCATCCCCACCCCACTGGCTGAACAATGCAGGATACCCTCCTCCAGGAAGGCGTGTCTTTCAGAATCTGGGGGGCGGGGGGGAGGTGCCGGCCCACTACCCCCCATTCCCACACTCCCTCAGAGCCAAGGACAGCAGGAGCTGGGGCGGAGGCTTTCTCCAGAGCTCCCCTTGGCTCCTTCAACCTACCCCCACTCGCCTTGGCGGCGGCGCCTAGGAACAGAGCACAGCCTTGCCAGCAAAGCACAGAAACCTCGGCTCCCAGCAGACCTCTCCCCCTCTGAAGGAGGTTCAGCTCCTGCACCACGCTGTTTGTACTCTATTTCCTCGGTTCAAAGATGCCACTGATTCCTCCACTATCCTTGACTACCTCTCAAACACGTGTTAACTTTACCACGTGCCTGGGGACGGGAAGGCGGGTGTGTGTGTGGGGGGGTGGAGATAATAAGAGAATGCCATGGACCTCACTACAACAGGATAAACCTGCACCTTAAAAAAGAGAAAACATTGTAGCAATCGTTGGGATGCCACCTAAAACCATATTCTGGGCTAGTTTTACTTGCACTCAATCCTTACTGTTACTTTGAGAAAACACTGGGGAGGGGGCCTTGCTCACGTAAGAGATAAGAAACCTAAGGCGCAGGGAGATCATGTGACTTACCCGTAGCCAAAAAGCATGAAAACGGTGAAGCCTGAATGTGAACCCTGAAATGTCAGCTAAGGCAGCTAAGCAGCGGACAATACTCCTAAAACACTGGAACCACTAACGACAGTGGGATTGCCTCCTTGAAGATAAAAAGACTAAACATAAAAAATAAATTGAAAACTGGCACCTGGAGGGGACAGGAGGGAATGGGCAAGCAGTGTGAAGCCAGAGGCAAGCAGAGTCACGGCACTGGGCCCGGGGAGGAGCCCTGGCCAGAGGCTTTGGGCCTCTGGCTCCACACTTGTGAGATGGGCAGGTTGTAAGCAGAAGACCCTTTCCTGTGGCTTAGGCTCTAAAACAGACAAGCAGGGAAAGCGACGAACACAGAGGAAGCAGTGGCACCTGCTGGGTGCCTGGGACACAGAAAAGGAAATTAATTCCCTGGAGACGCAGACTGACACTTGGAGGAAGCGGGACCGCAGAGACAAAGACCCACAGGCACAGAGACCCATGGGCAGAGCAACACATGGGCAAAGCTTCCCCTTGAGACAAGAGTAACACACCCCCCCCCCAACACACACACCCACTGATACAGCACAGATCAGAACAGAAAAGGGAGCTACGGTTGCTCAAAATGCTGTGGCCACCTTGTTGTGGGAACAACTCCACCAACCCAAGGGACATGCCCCGGGTTGGTGCATGGCCCCCCAGTACCAGTGAGAACACCCAGGAAGAAAGCAGGCAGCACACCTGCAAGTGCCCCAAAGAAGGCTCCATCAGTTCCACTTGGCTGTCCAGCCTAGCGGAACATGGCTTTGCAGCCAGGCAGACTCAGGATCGGTTTCAGCTTTTTTGCATAAAACCATGCAACAGCAACCAAACCTTTAAACCTCATTTTTCTCTTCTTTAAATGAGACTCATGCTTACCACCAGGTGTGGAACCTGGCAGAAAGACGTTTGGAAAGCAACTTTCCTTGCCCTTCCCCATCTCTAACAGCATCTCTGAGTGAGCTGAAAACCTGCCTCTGTACTTCCTCCCTAAGTAAGAAATTACACTAGGAATTATTTCACAATAAAAAATATCACTAGTCGGGCACTTAACGTATGCCAGCCCCCATGCCACACACTTTACATATGTTGCCCCATTTAATCTCAGCTCTGCCTCTGATCAGCTGAAACGTGGGAAAGTTTTTACTTTCTGAGCCTGTTTCCTCCTCTGCAAAGAGCAGGAAATCACTTCAGCCTCATAGGGCTGTTGCAAGATCCACTTAGAAAAACTGTGCAAAAGAGCTTAGCAAAGTGCCTGACACATGCTCAAAGTTTACCTGCAACTATCATTCTTATCATCCCTGTTTATTCCAACATCTCAACGACAAAAACAAACAAAAAAGGTCACCCTACACACACCAAAAAAATATGCACACAGCTACTGAGCAATGAAGTAGGTACTAAAACCCAGGTCTGCTCACCTCCAAAGCCTGTACTGTTAAACGGTACATCATGCACTTACAGACACCCCGTGGGCACCCCGAAACGTGACTTCTTGTCTCCTAACCCAGCCACCCCCTACCCCACTCTAGGCTGGGCCGAAAGGGGAATCCCAGCGCCCCATGGGGCCCTCCGAACACAGGTAGCTTAAGCCTCAAGCCTACCACCTTCCCTCGGCCTAGCTTCCTCACTCTCAAATCGGAATAAGACGACAAAAAAAAAGTGTTATCTAACGCTTCTCTCAGTGCTAACATTCTAGGGGCCCCCCAAAGTAATCAGCATTAGCACGGCCCCGTGCTTGGACTCGGCGTCACCCGAGGGGGACGTGCCTCCCACCCCCCCGACTGAACCAGGTCCCCCTATTCGCTCAGCCTCAGTCTCCTCCCCTCCACGCTGAGATTTACGAGGCTGAGTCTAGGTGTCCCGAGCTGCGATCCTACAGGACGTGGGATTTGCCTCTCTAGCTAGGGAGCGATGGGACGCAAACATTCCGCACTGTGATCGCCGGAAGAGCCAGAGCCCCGAGGAAGGGGTACAAGCGTGCGAGAGGAACACAGAGCACGCACAATGCGGCCTCTTCCACAAGCGCCGACCCTGGCGCCCCACGGCAGCGGCCCGGCGTGACACTGGCGGCCGGTCCGCAGGACTAGGCGCAAAGGGCGGCGGTGCTACAAGCGCCCCCCCGCGCGGCTCGGCCCGTGCCCACGTGAAGGGGGGCCCACAACGGCCATTTTGGAACAAAGGGGGCGTGGAGACCCAGGCCGCGGGCCCGGCCGGAAGCGGAAGTGCCAAAGCAGCGGTAGAAAAGGAGGAGTTGCGAGACCAAATCTATATAATCTCCTTTCCAGATTAAAAAAACCTAAGTCCGCGAGGGGACACCCGGCAAGCCCGCCGCGCGTGCCGGGGACCACGTGGGGCTCGGAAAAAGGAGCGCATGCGTCCGGGCCTGCGCTCGCCGCTCCCTCCCCTCCTGCGCGGCGGCACGCCGGGAGGTCACGTGAGCGAGGCGCGCGCCGCGGGACTTGGTGGGGGGGGCGCCGCGCGGCCCTGAGAGGAGGGGGGAGCAAGGAGGAAAATGGCGGGGGGGCACGCCGGGAGGTCACGTGAGCGAGGCGCGCGCCGCGGGACTTGGTGGGGGGGGCGCCGCGCGGCCCTGAGAGGAGGGGGAAGCAAGGAGGAAAATGGCGGGGGACACGGAGGGAAGCCAAGAGTCGCCCCGCCCGCCGTCCCGCACCCCCGGCGCCCTCACCTTGCTTATTCTCGTTGAGCTGCCGCTCGAACTCGTCGAAGTCCGACATGCTGAGGCGGCCGCGTAGGGCCCTGTGGAGCTCTCGCCTCGCCTTGCCGCGCGCCCGCTCCGGCCGCTTCGGCTACTTCCGCCGCTTGCTTCGGCTACTTCCGGCCTCCGCCGGCGCTCCACCGCCTCCTACCTAATCAAGCCCGGGCCGCCCGCTCCACCCCGGCTCCGCCCCTCTCCCCGCCTGCGCGCCCGCGAGGTGCCCCTCCCCCCCGGGCCTGGCTCCGAAATGCGTCGGCTATTTCCGGATCGTAGAGGAAAGCCTCGGGAGCAGCGGCTACGGCTGCTTCCGAAAACACCCGAAGCGAGGGTTTCGCCGCCTTCCCAGGTTTTCGTAACTTTTCGGATATTAGCTCTTCAACGTTCAGATGTTTCCGTAGATCCTCGCGTTCCTCTGCACCCAGCCCCCTCTAAGAATTCGGCTTCTTCCGAAAATTGAAACTGTCCCAGTCTTTGCTTGCGCAGATTCTCCCCGCTCTTCTCCGCCGGCCCTGTCCAAGCAATCGGCTACTTCCGACAATCCTAACCGTCCCGGACTTCGTTACTTTCCGAAGGCTTCCGGAGCTCGCCCTCAGACCCAGCCAGAGATTAAGCTCGTTTCCAAACTTCGGCTCTTTCCGGAGATTACAGGAGCACCCTCCTCCCCTCTCGGAGAAGTTCGGCTCCTTCCGCCACCGCTTCGGGAAGGCTTCACTCACGGGAGATAGCTTCGACTTTTTCCGTCGGCACTTCGGCTCCTTCCGGCTCCGGGAACCGAAAAGGGAGGGAGGACAGAGGAGAGGTGGGTCAGGGGAAGGGAAACGGAGAAGGGGCAGGGTCCAGGCTCTCGGAACCTGGCTCTCCAGATGGGGAAAAGGGAGGAAAAGAAGGGCTGATCTTGCGGAGGGCCTAAGAAGGTTGCACGAGACAAAGCCAGCGCGGTGAAGGGTGCGCGCGGCCGCGGCGGAGGTTGCCAGAGTGGCTTTGTGCGCCTGCGCAAGGGGGAAGAGGCGGGGCGCGAGGTGGGCTTCTGCGCCTGCGTAGGAGCCGGTCTGAGGCGAGGTTTCTCAACTGTTCCGGAAGAGTGCCCGCTTCCCGAGCCCCCAGAGCGCGTGCGCGAGTCTTTCCCTTCCTCCCGGGAAAGTACTGCATTCCCGACCGTTAAGCTAGGCCGCCCTCTGCTGGTTGCCGTGGCAACCGCACAAGCGCGCCCGCCCC